ACTTAGCTCTTCCACAGCACACTGGCCAAAGTGGTCCCTGAGTAGCCAACAGTAGCTCTTCCACAGCACACTCACCAAAGTGGTCCCTGAGTAGCCCAAAGTAGCTCTTCCACAGCACACTGGCCAAAGTGGTCCCTAAGTAGCCCAGCTTAGCGCTTCCACAGCACACTGGCCAAAGTGGCCCCTGAGTAGCACAACTTAGCTCTTCCACAGCACACTGGCCAAAGAGGCCTTTGAGTAGCGCAACTTAGCTCTTCCACAGCACACTGGCCAAAGTGGTCCCTGAGTAGCCCAAAGTAGCTCTTCCACAGCACACTCACCAAAGTGGTCCCTGTTCACCAAAGTAATCCCTGAGTAGTTCAACGTAGCTCTTTGACAGCACACTCACAAAAGTAATCTCTGACTAGTTCAACTTAACTCTTCCACAGCACGCTCGCCAAAGTGATCCTTGTTCACCAAAGTAATCCCTGTGTAGTTCAACGTAGCGCTTCCACAGCACATTCACCAAAATGACCTCTAAGTATTGACACCACATTCACCAATCTGATCCCTGAGTAGCTAAACCTAGCTTTTCCACAGCAAATTCACAAACTGATTTCTAAGTAGCTCATCTTAGCTCTTCCACAGCAACCACAGTTCTTAGTAGCGCAACTTAGCTTCTCCACAGCACATTTACCAAAGTGATTCCAAGGTAGTTGTAGAGTTGCAATGTACTTATCAAGCCAACAAAAGTTGCGTTTTTCTCACCCGTAGGCCTGTCGGTTGTTAGGTTTTTAGAACTTCGGACTTCAGTACGCCCGGTCGCGCAACTTAGCTCTTCTATAGCACACTCACGAGGTGGTCTCTGAGTAGCCCAACTTAGCTTTTCCACAGCACACTCACCAAAGCGGTCCCTGAGTAGCTTAGCCCTTCCACAGCACACTCACCGAAGTAGTCCGCGAGTAGCCCAACTTAGATCTTCCACAGCACGTTGACCAAAGTAATCCTTGGGAAGCCCAAAGTAGCTTTTCCACAGCACGTTCACCAAAGGAATCCCTGACTAGCCCAACTTAGCTCTTCCACACCACACTCGCCAAAGTAATCCCTGAGTAGCCCAACTTAGATCTTCCACAGCACGTTGACCAAAGTAATCCTTGAGAAGCCCAAAGTAGCTTTTTCACAGCGCGTTCACCAAAGGAATCCCTGACTAGCCCAACTTAGCTCTTCCACATTACACTCGCCAAAGTAATCCCTGAGTAGCCCAAAGCAGTTCTTCCATAGCACACTCACCAAAGTGGTCCCTGAGTAGTTCAACGCAGCACTTCCACAGCATGTTCACCAAAGAGATCCCGGAGTAGCCCAAAGTAGCTCTTCCACAGCACGTTCACCAAGGTGATCTCTGAGTAGCCCTAAGTGGCTCTTTCACAGCACGCTCGCCAAACTGATCCCTGTTCACCAAAGTAATCCCTGAGTACAGTAATTCAACGTAGCACTTCCACAGCACATTCACCAAAATGACCTCTGAGTATTCACACCACATTCACCAAACTGATCCCTGAGTAGCTAAACCTAGCTGCCTAGCTCTTCCACAGCACATTCACAAACTGATTTCTAAGTAGTTCAACTTAGCTCTTCCACAGCAACCACAGTTTTTAGTAGCGCAACTTAGCTTCTCCACAGCACATTTACCAAAGAGATCGCAGGATAGTTGTAGACTTGTATTGTACTTATCAAAGCAGTTTTTTCCCCACCCGTAGGACTGTGGGGCTGTTAGATTTTAAGAACTTTGGACTTCTCGCTACTTCTGCACATCCACCAGAGTGGTCCCAGCGTAGCTCAGAGCAACCCAAAGAACACAGCACATCCACCAGAGTGGCCCACAGTGGCCCAGAGTAGCCCTTACACAGCACATCCACCAGAGTGGCCCCGAGTAGCACCAGCACATTCACCAGAGTGCTCCCAAGTACCAGTTCCACAGCATATCCACCACAAGTTGACTTGGCAGGGATGTGGGGTTGCCAGGCATTAAAATATCGAAGTTCAGAAACCTCACAAGTAAGTATTCGATGTGTGGTTTTGTTTTCAATAAAGAATCCTTTTCGCGCCGAACCGCTTTTCTCTTGTGAAGACCAATTCTTTGAGGGTGGGGAATTTCGAAGTAAAGTAATTGACTTTCTAGGAATCCTCTAGGAACCAGAGCTTGTCCAGGCGTTATTTCTCTAACAGACATGTTACCCTCTTGCCTTCTTACAAACCGATCTAAGACGATGCACCTCTCCAGGCCACAGACGGCACACCAGACTTGGAGGACATTCGACGACCAAAGCGATGGCCATCGCGATGGCCTCGGTAAGATATGACGACAGTTTTGTTCGTCCAACTGAAAACGGGACGGGAGAGTTCTGTCATCAGGGTTTGTGCTTGAAGGACCTCGCTAAAAGAGCATGGCCGGAAGAGAATTGCGGTTCCAGCTGCAGTTGCCCATTCCTCAGCAGCTGAAGCTTACAACCTTGTCTGGCCTACACTTTCTGTCGCTTACTTGTGGACTCACTATGGTAGAGGAGAAGAAACACATCTCTTGTAGAGCGATGCATTTGTTGACTTTCTCTTTGCAATATTGCTCCCTCTACATTCTTTTAGTCCCTCTTTGCAAGATCACATGACATGAACAAGCAGCGTTCTTGTTGAACAGCGCTCGTTTCTAAAGGGCAAAAGAAAGACCCAAGCAAGGGACGGGGGGTTCCCCGGGAAGGTTATATATGTGATGCTCCATTCGCGGCCTTGGGAATTCATTATTTTTCATCGTTTCCATAACATGTTCATCGGTTTCACACATTGGTTTCACCACATGATCATCGGTTTCATTCGTTTTCACCGGTTTCATAACATCGTCAGCGTTTTGTATCCATTGGCCCTCTTTCGCTCAAAAGCGAACGGCCCACCATCCCAATGTTTCGAACAGGTGTCATGGTCGCTGTGAAAAAGACACAACCACGCGACTCACCTCGGACGTCATTTTGGAGACCCTCAAAATATGTTTTTTGTTAAACCGTGTATCATGCACCAGCTCATTGTTTCATGGCAACACATATTTTGAGCGCATGGACATGCTTCTTTTGCACATGCCCATGCCATGATAACCACAGAATTACAAGCAGTTTGCCTCCATGCCACACATACAACTCATCATTGAGAACAACTGATAAGCCTCAACATGTCTGAACATATTTCAATTTCGTTCGGGCATGTTGATGCCTGAGATACCCATTCAAACATGTATGTGCGACCTTCTCACCAGTGGCCCTGCAAACATACACTCTCCAACCTCCCGTCCCTACCGAAGAAAGACAGATAACAAAGGGAAACGGGGAAGAAACATAACAAATACACTTCTTTTACACCGAAGGTCCATATAAAGTCCGGCAACGAGTAGTGACGCCCAAGAGTCTTCAGAGCGTCGAGATGTCTCTTCAGGCGCCCTGACGCCCAGCCCTACAGCAGCTGTTGCTGCAGTGCCTGAGACGCCTTTGGCAGCTATGACTTGGCCCAGAGCCTTGAACAGAAATCCCAAAGGTTTGAGCCAAAGGTGTTCAATTCAGTCAGACTCCTCCGCTTCAATCTCTAAACTCCAAGGAGATCAACCAGTGAAGCAGCCTGAGATCATCACAGACCAGGCCATTTGGTATGCTTTTGTGCCATGTCCTCATGGCAAGTTCTAGTTATATAATTTACATTACTAGTAACAAGGACGCATGCTTTCCACTGCATCAGCTGTGCACCAGGACTTCATTGCGTCCTTGCGTGGCCGCGACATCAAAGTTATCCTACAAGGCACACATTTGCTCACGGCACTTTCGCATCCCTTTCTGTTTTCCCCCCTTCGTTTGTTTCCCTTTTCCCCTTTTCCTCTCTTTCGTCATCAGTAAGCGACGCCTTATGTTAGCACACTTTATGTTTTGGCAGGCTTCGACAATATGTAACATAGAGTACTAGGAGAATTGACGGATAATTTGTACGACGTCCAAGTAGATCCAAAGAGCAAACTGGTGGACGAGAGTAGATGATGAAGAATTGAACAAGTCAAATGCTTGCGTCAGGTGAACTCATCAAGGAGTTTGTGGACCATCCCATTGTGCCTCAGCAAAACCCCAGATGTGGCCCTGACCTTTGTTCAAAAATCAATGATCCAATGGTTTCTGTTTGTTCAGTTTTTGATGTCTCGAAATAGCTCCAAATTGGAGGTCTGGCCATCAGTGAACGCCATGGCGGAGTCCTACCGGCTGGCACAAGAGAACCCCGACCTTGGCAGTGCCATTGGCTTCAGTGTCTTAGACAAATTGCACTAGTAACAAGTGCATCGCTACTAGTAACAAGTGCCTTACTAGTGGTAACAAGAAGCTACTAGTAGCAAGGTGCCTTACTACTATAACAAGTAGGTTGGAGGCCGTCGCTATCAGGTTGGAGGCCATTACTCCTAGTAGCAAGGACGCGTAGTGAATCCCCTCCCTCTTAGACTACAAAGCATTCTTGCTAGTAGAAAGAAGCACGTGAAGACCCGCCTTGTACAAGCATTGTTCAGGATTAAGTTTCCCAAGGATTAGTGCAAGGGCTTCTTCAAGGAAGCGTGAACTATCCTGCGTCCAGTTACTAGAAGCCAACTAGTCGCCCTTAGTTACCCTTACTTAATTAAGTGGGTGCCTACGTATATAATTAAGGAGGCAGGGCCACGGGCAAAAAAGATAGATAAACCTATCAAAAAATAAAATACTTTTAATTCTATTACTAGTAGTAAGAATGCTCCTAGTAGCGATGCCAGGAGCCCCTAGTAGCGTCCTTGTTACTACTAGTAAGGCACTTGTTACTAGAAGCGATGCACTTGTTACTAGTAGCTTCTAGCGAAACAAAACGGCGGACCAAACATCGAAAGAAGAAGCCGAGGTGGATACCGAATGAGCAGGCTTGGAAAAAAAACTGCCCTAGAGTTGTGCTCTTGTTGGTTTCGGGAGTTGTGCTCTTTGTGCTGGTCATCGAATCTTTCAGCATGAACTTATGCTAACTTGTGAACTTTGGTTCTACTTATCCACTTCATTCTGGGTTGGAGGCCATCGCTAGTAGGTTGGAGGCCATTGCTATTAGGTTCCTTCACATCTGTGAATCTGCGGACGACCTGGTCATGCAATCTCAGATGCAGCGTGAGCTTGGGCGCCGCACAGGCCAGGATTCGGGGCGTTCCGTGACACGTCACACTCTGCCCCTGTGGTGGTACTGCAATTGTAATATATATATATTTTTATATTTTGATTCTGTAGTGTATGTCATTACACTGTTTTGTGTTAAACACTGTGACTATGATCTTTTTACGCTAGGCGCGTAGTTGCATGTCAATGCTTCATTTATTCATTGAAGATCGGCTTAGATGGACTTGAGGCACCTGCTTCCAACGTTGTGTGGGTCAAGATGCATCCAACGTGCTTCTCTCAGAGATATACTGATGGATCTTATGGATTTTCAGATCTAGGTTGGAGGCCATCGCTATTAGGAGCAAAGGACGCTACTAGGGGCTCCTGGCATTGCTACTAGGAGCAAGGACGCTGTTCGTAGCTATTAGGTTGGAGGCTTGAACCAAACTGTGAGGCCATGTGGTCAACGACCTACGACATTGATCAGAAGAGCCTTGGCAAACAGCAACGACACTTCGGTGAGTCGGCTGGCCACATTGCAGAACGCTGAGATTCCACAGCAAAGCAGATGATCTGAATTGGAAACTGTTTGCAAATGTGCGATTAGGTCTTGACTTTTCAACTCCTAGCTAGTACTAACTCGATGCTAATGCTGAGCATACCAGCAAAGATACAATCAAATGGTATGAAGGCCGGAATGGCAAACACCCCTTGTGATTACTAGCAAGCTTGAACGCAGGCGGTGCATTTGGAATGTAAACACAAGCCTTGCAAAAAGCATCTAAAAGAACACATCTCAAAGGTTTCGGGTTCATCCAAAGACTTTCCAATGAAGCACTTTGGTATTTTTTATTTTCTCGGGGCACGCCGCTACGGTGTGTGCGGGAAATACGTAGTAGGCTAAGTAGCTAGTAGTGGACCCCAGCTGAATGCACTTGAAGTCAAACCGAAATTGAAAGACGGCATGGTCGAACAGCTTATATATTTGCACACCAACGGCGCTACCTCATTGACTAGTGAAGCAACACCAAAACCTTGCACTGTAAATCGAAACTATGGCCTATACACGAAGACCCTTCCTTATTGCCAGGTGTTCCTTCCAAATTCTGTAGATGGGTTGGGTCTGGAAGACTGCAGGCACATGATTTTGGCGAGAGACGGAGTTCCTAACAATCCTAATGAAAAAGACAGGCATTTGCTCGATGACAAGTGACAGGTAATATAGTATGACAGATGTGCCGTTCGTTTCCACCCAAAGCCACATGCTGCAGCTAGCGATGGCCTGGCGATGGCCTCCGACACAAAGGGCTTTCTTCCGAGGCATGGCACCAACTATCACGCTCGCTTCAAGGAGTTCATGATCATGGCTCAAAGCAAAAACCTGGTCCTCGGTGGAGCCATGACAGATGTGAAAGGCGCTCCACTTGTTCTGCAGATGTGAAGAATTAAGAGAAGGCTAAGAGAAGCACAAGAAACAGAACAAGACACTGAGGAGTGAGATGGAGTGAGGCCTTTTTCTCTTTTCGGAAACATCTACGCCGTAAAGGTGCTAAAACATGTGCGGTGTTTTTCCTTTTTGTGCTTTTCAGTTGGGACTACAAGTCCCACATGGGACCAAGTCGACGTTTGAAGTGTCGGATGGGGTTGGCATTGCAATTCGCATTCAGCGCTTTGCAGAGCGGTGCTAGGCGATCGAAGCTTGAACCCATCCGAGCAGCAGGAGATGCATCAACCCACAGACCAAAGACCACTTAAATATGCTATTGGAAACAAGAAGCTACTAGGAACCAGTGCATCGCTACTAGTAACAAGTGCCTTACTACTAGTAGCAAGAAGCTACTAGAATTAGAATTAGAATTAACTTAAATCACATTAAATTCTAACTAATGAACTTGCTCTGAGAGGTCCACGGCTAATTTATATATTGTTTCTACTAGCTTCTTGTTACTACTAGTAAGGCACTTGTTACTAGAAGCGATGCACTTGTTCACTGAAATATGCTTCTTGGGAAAATTGCTCTGCAAACAGAGCAAAGATCACGAAGAAATCGTTTCAGCAAGATATGATTCAAGCTTCGTGATATGACTGCGCGTGCTTGCCTAATTCCTTGTCGATCAGTTCATGCTTTGCTGAACTATTTGTAAATCCCTCTCCCAGATGTTGCTGCCTTCCGAAGGCACTTGTTATCATCTGGCCGGTTCGCATGTAGAACATGACGTTTTCTGCAGGACCCAGACATGTTTGTCCGTGTCTCTGAGAGAAAGCCGGATGGTGGGGTGGTTCTGCGGGGCTGCAAAGCCCATCAGCCCTTTGGGCCGAACAAGCTACGTTCGGGGCTGGCCTTACTAGGAGCAAAGGACGCTACTAGTAGCAAAGGGCATCGCTACTAGTAACAAGAAGCTACTAGGAGCAAAGGGCATCGCTACGAACGGAGCAAAGGACGCTGTGCGTGACGTTAACTGGCCCAGGACTGGAAATCTAAACTCCCACTGGATGATCATTATGCCTGGTGGCAAGATGGAGGTGGCAGACAAGGAGACTTGAACGAGTTCTTCTCCAACCTAGCAGCGATGGCCTCCAACCTGGAGCGATGGCCTCCAAGCTACGAGCGATGGCCTTCAACCGACTAGTGATGACCTGCAACCTACTAGCGATGTCCTCCAACCCACGATCCAACCTACTAGCTCCAACCTAGCTACTAGCGATGGCCGCCATTAGCGATGGCCTCCAACCTACTAGCGGTGCCCTCCAACCCACTAGTGATGGCCTCCAACCTAGTTGCGATGGCCTCCAACCTACTAGCAATGGCGTCCTACCTGCTAGCGATGGCCTCCATCCTAAGAGCAATGATAGCGATGGCCTCCCACCCAAATGAGTTCTTTTGAGATAGAGCTTCTTCACAAAACATTGAGCATACAGCGAAAAGGACTATGCAATTGCGTGCGCTGTGCCAGTGGATGCTCCTGGCGACGAACTCAGATGTTAATTTGTGATCAGCTTCACCGACCAGAAGTCAGTTTGCCATGGAAGACCTACTTGCAGTGTTGTAGGTCTTACCTACATCTACGGAAGGCAGAGCTGCGACTTGCGTGCCATGGAACCAGGCTACTCCTGCCGCGAAATACCGCCGTGGCACGTCACGATGCCCTTCTAAGGCATGTTGAGTTCCATCTCTGAGGCTTTTGCGGCCTTACTGTAAGTTGTTCCCGAACAATATGAAATATATGTCAATGCTTGAGTTTTGTTTTCGCTTCGAGGAGACATTGACCAGGGCAACGCCAAGTTTGGTGGCCAGGTGTGGCCAGATCGTAGATCGGCAGCATCTTCTCGAGCGTTCGAGAACGTCGCAGGAGACGTTGACATGCTTCGAGGATGTCTACGTGCCACCAGAGTGCCTCAGGCTTTGAAGTCCTAGTGCAGGGCATTCAAGTTGGGTGTGAAGCATCCTTTGAATAAATATCTTTAGCCTGCTCATAACATGAGTCCTTCCACAGTCTCAAAAGGACATCAGGCCATATCACTACCTGGATCTCTTGTGGGTGCTGGAAAAAGATGACTTTTGCTGCATGACATTGTTGATAGGCTGATAGGCCAAGAGGCCTCGAGAGGTTTTGTCGATGGGCTAGGCAGCTTTTCAAACACTTTGGCGCAGCATCAAAGTGTTTGCGAGTAAAAGGCACACAGGCCCCGAAGCGGCACTTTTCCAAGTGTTCTGATCCTCTTAGGAGTTATAGTAACAACAACTCTCAGAGCTTGGGTATGTTGATGGCTATCAGGTTGGAGGCCATCGCAAGTAGGTTGGAGGCCATTGCGGCTTAGGTATATTTTCATGGACGGCGAGGTGGACTTTACTCAAACTCTGGTGGAGCGATTCACTGCGTATCATCGCCGTTCTATCCCAAGAGAATTCTCACCAGCTCGGACACATGATCCGACCTTGTTTCCCAGATAGCCAGTTGCCTGAGTAGCCTGCTTGTCTTAGGCTCCTATGTGTGTAAAGCAGGCTTGGGTGATGTGATGCTGGGTGCTGCTGCCACAGTGGCGGACTACAATGGAGTGGCCAAAGCTTCGCACATCAAGGCGCAAGCGGCCGAAGCGGCCCTCACCTCCGGTTTTCAACCTCAGCCTAAAGGCCTAGCTCTAACTACAAGAACGCATTCTTTTACAGAACGTTTCTAGGTCTGTAAATTGTAAATGCTGCTTTGGAGCCTTTTCACAAGAATGTCTCATCTTTATGAGAACGCAACGCATCTCTGGCACCTTTTTTGGTCTCAATATGCAATGCTTTTTGACAGTATAAGACTAAAAGACATGCTTCAGACATGCTTCACTAAAAGACAAGCTTTTTTGGCTGCTAAATATTTCAGCAACTTTTTCAGCAACTTGGAGGACAAGCTGGTGGAGATTGCTTATTTAAATGAAAATATTGCAGGGACTGCTATGGCTTCGTCCTATGGTGGACAGGCAACTCCTTCTGGGAATTTCTTGCCAGATGTAATGATGCCTGGTTTGTACTGAGATTCTGTACTTTGTTTTGCCTATGGTCTTTGCCAACCTCCAAAACACGACTATTTGTTTGCTCTTTTATTTAGCAACTAAATACATGCCGCATTTTGATCCAAGGATGGCAAACATTTGCAATTGCCCCAAGTTTCACAGGTGATAGCGCAACACAGTGTGCAGTCGGTCGAAAGGAATTGCTTTGAACCCGGTGGTGACAACTGATTGAGGCAAGCACAATGTCACCAAGCTGCCCTACGAAATTGCTCGCTTGGCGCAGGAATGAAGTTACCCACTGGTTCTGGTAGACAAAGTTAGAGGCCATTGCTATTAGGAACCAGAAGCTATTAGGGGCTCCTGGCCTTACTACTAGGAGCAAGAAGCTACTAGAGGCTCCTGGCATCGCTACTAGGAGCAAGGACGCTATTAGTAGCTATTAGGTTTGGAGGCCATTGCTTTTAGGTTGCAGGTGAGTACAAGGTGAGCGATTCCTGTTCCGAAGGACTTGGCTGGTGGTATCATTGTGACTTTGCCAGCAGACAAGGAGTTCCGCCCCCTGGCCAAATCTTTTTGACATGTCAAGGTGAGATTACAACATGTATTTTTCTGCATTTTTGTTCATCGTGAATTACGACTAGTAGCTAGAAGCTATTTGTCTACTAGTAACAAGGACATCGCCAGTAGTAACAAGGACATTACATGTCGGTTGCTTTCCCGTTTTCACAAGGTAATGACGTTGCTGGACCTCTGCTTGAGAAGTATTTGAAGGGCAAGAAGGGAGTGACAGTGGAGAACCGACGCCGTATCCTGCGACTGATCGAGAACATGACAATGGGGAGGAGCTTGCAGCTGCAACAAGACGCATTTGAAAAAAGCAACAATCTAGAAACATTAGTGTTTCAAACTCAGAAGCCTTCAATTCGTCAGGAATGCTGTCGGCTATCTTAGCAGCTTGGACAACTGTGATGTATGTGAAACGTTTGTTTAAACACCTCAAACAAGTTTGTTCCGTTGCTATCTGTTTATCATTCAGTCTTTCAGTTTACTATCCTGCCTCTGGAGTGCGCTGCTTGGCTTAAGTTTAAACCCTGCTTTGCAGGCGAAAGCCTCCATGGCGCAGGGTCTCCGCAGGCACAGCGCGTCCTCATCCAACGCCTTTTCGACCTCGAAACCAAGAAACGGTTCCTCGGACCTTTGTTACTAGTAACAAGTGCCTTACTACTAGTAACAAGAAGCTAGTAGAAACAATAATTAGATTTAAAGTAAGTTAGAATTAAATTAAACCAATTTAAGAAACGGTTCCTAGTAGTAAGGCACTTGTTACTAGAAGCGATGCACTTGTTCCTAGTAGCTGATTGTTTCTACTAGCTTCTTGTTCCTAGTAGCGATGCCAGGAGCCCCTAGTAGCGTCCTTGCTCCTAGTGGTACGGCCAGGAGCCCCTAGTAGCTTCTTGTTCCTAGTGCTCTTTATTTCTGTTTTGGCTGACCTCCACCCCTTCTCTACTTAATTAAGTCGGCGCCATATAATTAAGGGAGAGGTAGCTCGTAGCACCTTCATTTGGGAAACTTAAGAGATCGATGGGGAGCTGTTGTCTAGTTTGCCAGCGTGCGCGCTTGGTAATTTCTGATTGTACAACAGGGTACGTCCGTGAGGGTAGTTCAGTTTGGTCAGCTTGGTGAGCCTGAGGCTGGCCAAAAACTTGGCAGGCATTGTCGAGTGAGGGAGGCCAATCGAAACGAACCACAAGACTTCGTGGGAAACAAAATCGCATTGGGGTCTTATGGGTTCTTAGAACAGTAAAACTATAACACCTGGTGACCTTTGCTGGAAGGGGCTACAGCTCCACGCGGCAAAGACATTGCCAGAGTGTGGTTCCAGCGAAGGAATGATATCTCCAGTTTGTCTTTGGATCGGTTCTGTGTTGTTAGGTTGGAGGCCATTGCTATTGGGTTTGGGTTGTTTGAAATGGAGAAAGGCAAGGAGCGAGATACCATTTCATCAGCTCACAGAGTCTCCGAAATGAGAGCCTCATGCCCTCTTTGTCGCCCAGTCCATTAAAAGAGATCAACAATAGAAATGCAACTATTTGTCGCTGGGACAATGAGGATGACATAGTTTCAAGACCGCGCTTGTGCGCTGAAAAAAAATGAAAACCAAGGGCAACCAACAACAACTTAGACGGCGGGTGACTTCAAACGGAGCTTTACAATGCATGCAATAAAATTTGATGACAAAACACAATACTGTATATCTATTATTAGGAGAGAGGAGCTGTTCATTGAAAGGACGGCAAGCTCAAGGATGGCTTCAAAAAGCAGATGGTTTGGGCCTTAGATGCATCCATTCTTTGCGCTTGGTTTGGACTGGCCAAATTGATCCAAAGAGAGTAGGGTCCAGTTTGAGCTTATTTCGAACAAAAACCGCGTCGACACGATTGACACGATTCAACACGTATTCAACCGATGCATCAGTGTTGACGGCTTGATCCGTAGTGCTTGGCCGAGCCATGTTGCACTTGGTCGCACGTCAAACAAAATAAATGTTACACAAAAGCACAAACCGTACGCAGGTTGCGAAGGCATTTTTGGGGGGTTGGCCCTTAGTACAATCTTTCTCTCGCGCCTACTAGGTTGGGGGGCCATCGCTACTAGGTTGGAGGCCATCGCTATTAAGTTGGAGGCCATCGCTATTAGGTTGAAGGCACTAGGTTGGAGGTCATCGCTATTATGTTGGAGGCCATCGCCATTAGGTTGGAGGCTATGTTGGAGGAGCTGGCTAGAAGAAAAAAACCCTACTTTTGCTCTGAGACTTTGCCGGAAGAGAAGTTTGCGGACCTCTCAGAGTTGCACCATGCGTCTTGCCCCCAGACAAAGCCGTTGGCATTCAAGTTTTGTGTCACTGTGTCTAGAATCGGTTTTTTGAGAAGAATTCAGGGTTCGTTGCAATCTTGAAAATCCCTGCCATCAACCATCAGCTTCTGGGACATGTCCCACTTCAAGACACATGTCTAATTTTAGCACAAACAGATGTAACACACTGAAGACCAATACACTGCCACGCAAGAGCTTGCTTTGCTTGTTTGCTTGCAATCGCATTGCCTTGCTTCGCCTTGCTTGCGCCCGTGTGTGCGAGTCGATGTCCTTGCTGGGGGCATCGCTTAAAAACATGACGGTGCCATTCCGGAGCAAAAGCGAACAGTTCCAAGTGCAATCTCTAACCCTGGAGTGAGTTGAACCTCTTCGGCCAATCGCTCATGTTAAACCGGCGCAGAACGAAGGCAGTTGCAGACGGTGTAGAGGTCAGATTGGATCCCTTGCTGAGGTCCATCAGAAGCTATGCTTTTTGGCAGAAAAGATGCAGTGGGGTGAAATAATTGCAGGACAGTTTTCATGTTGCAAAGCGCACAGACATGCTGTGGATTTGTGCGATTGCTTGTGCCGGTACCAAATCCAAGGCCATGGATCTACTCAGCTGTGTCGCGGATCAAAATGACGATGAATTCATCAAGGACAGCGCCCGAAGTGAAGTGCCATGTGAGTTGTCAAATTACATGCTTCTTGTTGCTAGTAGCTACTTGCTCCTAGTAGTACGGCCAGGAGCCCCTAGTAGCGTCCTTGCTCCTAGTAGCGATGCCCTTTGCTACTAGTAGCTTCTTGTTACTAGTAGCGATGGCCTCCACCCTAAGAGTGGCCTACCCCCTCAGACAAGATGGAGCCCACAAACCTGAATGCACACACGCACTCGAAAACAAATGACTCAACATTGTTTGACGTCCTTGTAAGACACTCTTGTGGAATATTGTTGTGGGGCAGTCTTGAAGCACTTTCTGGTGGGACACCTTTGTGGGAGACTCTTGTTGGGCACGTTAGTGGGACACTCTTGTCGGACACACTCGTCAAGTCTCCAAAATCAGCGTTTCGCATGAGACCCACTCGAAAAGTAAAGCAAGAAGTCTCATCAGAGCAAGCACATCAAGCACCCTCGCCAAGCAATTTCGCAACCCCAGCCCTTCAAACCTGCCGCCGACACGCTAATGAAACAGCGACATTCACCTCCACCAAACTCACGACGCCCTGCGCCTGCCACGAAAAATGTTACCCAGCAAGAATTGAACCGCACCACACGTTTGGCAATGACTTTGACACTTTCGGAACACACACACAGACATCTGAGTCAAGGGCCTGAAAAGCGAACATGTCACAGCAACACTGACCCAAACCTCCAAAAGACACCGGCAATCGCCAAGGAAAGGCAGAAAATCAGAATCCACGTTTCCACGCCTCCCCCGAACGACCGATGGTGAACACGAAAGCAACGTCACGCGAACACGGCTCCAACGGGAACCCTTCGCATTAGAAAAAAAAGTCCGTTTACAAGACAAAAACAAGGTGCTCAGGTTTAATTGGCGGGTAACGTAAGCATGTAAAGCACGGAAAAAAAGAAGGAACAAGGTGCTAAGATTTAAAGGGCTCAGCATGTTTGTCACAATCTACCCTGGCTACACCAAAAATGCTTTCGCACGAGCAAAAGCATGTAAACAAAATTTCAGACGCCCACACACACACAGAACTTCTCTAGTCAACCCCGCTCTTTCCGACATCTTTCTTTGACTTGTTTATGCCTCGTTTGCCAGGCTTTTTGCCATCTAGGTCATTGGCTTATCTAGTGTCACGAATTCAAAAGGAACATTGACCACAGTGAACGTTTGACCAAGACTGCCAGATGCTTGTGAGACTGGCGCAACTGAGACTCTGCGGGTGACAACCTTTTCCCGCAGTTCGACCTAGCCGAGATGCTTTTCGGCAATGCTTTTGCATTCCCAGGCCGATTTTGTGTCACGATCTTTTTTATGATCTGAATATAGCTGAGGGAACTTGTTTGTAATTGATCAACTGTCTCAAGCTATCTTATGAGTTGACAGGCTTGACTTTAGTGGCAGATGACCATCCCATGGCTAGTTGCCCAGGGGTCAATCGATGTCAGTGCAGAACATGTCAAGCTGTTTTCGAAGAATTATCACGACCCTCCTGTAGCCGCTGTAGCCTTTCTGTTTCTTGTCATTTTGAGCTCTATCTTTTGTTTGTCCTTTTCATCTCACTACCTTTTGAAGTGAAGGAGACGTAGAAGAAATATGAAGAAATCCCGTTGCGTTCCGTCTTCAGGTTCGAACCCTTTGTATAATCAATCGAAAGGATATGTTTTTTAAATCTTTAAACAAAAGAAAACAACGATTTGGTTTTCTTAAATGTTGTTTCCTCTTCTTGCTCCAGTCTCCTGCTCTTTACAGCATTCGTTGACGCCCGAGGAACAGCTGCTCAAGATGTCTGAGAAGCTCCAGGAACAATTCCCACGAGCCTCAGACATCGAAGCAGACATCAAAAAGCAGGAGGAATCCGCTAGCAAGGAGCGCAGAGCCACAAGACTTTCACAGAGATTGAATGTCTGAGTTTTTCCGGATGGAAGAATGGTATGAATGGATTGTCACAGAATGTCCAAGAATTCCCTTGATTTCCAAGACAAAACTCTTCGTTCTAGTGACACGCACACTGTGAATTCAGCTTCTGTAACGCATTATGTTCCTTCTTTGTGAGGAAAAGAAATTCAAGGAAGATGATGAGCAACAAGATGAGGTTTCGTGTGGGTTGGATCGATTGCATTTTGTTTGCATCATCTAGCGACTGTATGACGGGTGCATTTGAGGCCCCACAGGTGAAGCTAAAGTTTGCACCAGATTTGGTCATCCAGGTGCAGCTCAGAAAGCATCGCTAGTAGGGTGGAGGCGAAAGCAGATGTTGAGTAGAATTCCGATCTGATGAGATAAAGCCACAGGTTTGAACAAGAGTCGTTGAAGACAGCCATGCAACTCTTACTACTCCTTGCTAACAAACATGCTTTGTCAAAGAATGACCAAACGAAGAACCGCAAGACCAATGCTTTCACTGGACAGTCCGAGCAATTCCTCAAGCGCTGGTGCCCAAAGAGACCTGCAAACTGCCACACCATCCCAAGAGTCCTTCCAACTGTGCCCGGGCCCTAGTAGCCCTAGTGGCCCTAGTGGCCCTAGTCTTTCTTTGATATGTTCAATTTTCTTAGATTGGAATTCATTTCTTCGTTTCTTGTTTTCTTTTGAGCCTTGATACCTTTTTCCCTGTTGTGTTTGCGTGGAGCTCTTGACCTAAAGTGTCCCTAAAAAACTAGGAACCAAAAGCGCTCCAGTGCGAGCGCTTCTTCAAGAATG